TGTCAGGAAATTTCTCCTCAGTTCTAAGTTGCTTCTCTCCTTGATTAGTTTCCACCCATTGCTTCTTGTTCTACCCTCAGGTCCCTTGGAAAATACTTTGACTCCCTCTTCTTTGTGGCAACTCCTGAGATATTGGAACACTGCTATCATTTTTTTCCATCTAAGGAAATAAAAATATATCATGAGAAGTTCAGCAATTAGCATTTGGCTGCTTTTTCGTGGCATTCCTATTGATTTTCACTTTATGGACAGCCAATGTAGAATTTTTGTTTCAGGAATTGAGCTTTTCATGGCAACCATTTTCTCATAACAAATAAGACAGAGTAGTACATCTAGGCACTACCCAAAATTGTAACAGAGCAAGGATGCCTTGCTTGGTAATCCTCAAGACAGCTGAAGAGGAGGTTATGAAATGTGTTGTTAATCATGGTTTGGCTCTTTGATCCCTAAAGACTCAAAGCTGGGAGTATTTTTCATTCTCAACCACAGTTTAAGCGAGCAAGAACAGTGTGCCGGGCAGCAAGGGATGACTGTGACTTTCCTGAACTCTGCACTGGCCGATCTGCTGAGTGTCCTACAGATCGCTTCCAAAGGAATGGACAACCATGCCAAAACAACTTGGGTTACTGCTACAATGGGAAATGTCCCACCATGACAAATCAATGTATTGATGTTGTGGGGCCAGGTAAGTCAACCTGAGGATTTCAGAATGGTGGTATTATAAAAAACTGAGAGTCACTGCATTATTGAAAGATTTTCTCCTTTGTATCCATAGTAAATTGTCATTAACTTTCTGTTCTATAACAGCATTAGAAGAAGCCTTGTTGGTCTTCCAGTTCAATTCTCTGCTCAAGCAGGAAACTGTATACCATTTCCCATCTTTAAAAATTTCCAGTATTGGAGCACCTACAACTTCTGAGGGTTTTGTACAGATGGAATAATTTTTCAAGACAAAGTTCTTTCTTTGGAGGCTTTAGAGCCCAGCTCTCCAAATCTTTTGGTTTAAAGCTCCAGTCATCCCTAGAGGACATGACCAATGGTCCAAGATGATGGCAGTTGTAGTCAAGAAATCTGGAAAGACTGACTTTGGGGAAAGGATCTTTTGTGGGTTATGGAAACATTCCCAAATTGGACAAAGATATGAGCCAATCTCAATGAGAGATAAAGTAAATTGATTATGGGACTGTGTGCTAAGAATATTCAAACCCCAGGATCAAAATTTTCTTTACATTTGGTACAATCGTTTAAGAAACAGATCTTGGGGGATGTGATTCTTGTCACTCATCACTCCTGACTTTCAGACTATTCACAATTTTTTCAGCATGGTTTTATGTTGAAAAAGGAAACTGGAAATAAGTTCCCTTTTTCATATAAGGTAGATAGTTTTCAGTAAGCATGGAGATTTATCTTGGCCATAGATCAGTAGTGCAGTGAGGCTTTGCATATAGAAAGCCCAAATACAAGTTTTGGGGACATTAATATAGTCAGAATTAACAGAATAACTGAGTTGGAAGGAGCCTTGGAGGTCTTCTAGCCCAACCCCTTGATCAAGAGGGAAACCATATAGTATTTCCAATCTCTTCTGCATAAGTTCCAGTGTTGAAGCCAGTTTCTGATCAGTTCTGGAGAACCAGTAGCAGAGATTTTGAGTAGTTCAG